CGGTCTCTAAGGAGGTGCTAATTTAGCCTCTGCCTGAGACTACCCAGCAGGAGCTATGGAGAGATCTGCAGATTCCTCTTCTTTGTTTGGGGTTTGGAGCTGCCCAGATGAGGTCCAGCTGTGAAGCAATGCAAGCTGCTGTGGGGCCTTGGGCCTTCTTTTGGAAGTTCTGGGTCTGTCTGACCCACCTGCAGTTTGTTAGGTAATTTTCAGATTGCAAAGGGCCAGGCCTTTCATATGCAAAAGCCTAAGCAAGCAGCTTGGGTGGGGCGGGTTCTCAGGGGTTCAACGGGGCAGAGCAAGCAGCTATGGCTGCTCCTCAGTCCTACCCTAAGAGTCCCCTCGTCTCAGTGTCCCAGTAATCGCTGTAAGCACCTCTGAGAGAAAGCCGTCCTCGAGTTCTGACCAATACCAGTTTCTCCCTGTATGAGTCTGGGTACCCAGAGACTCGCCCTGAACTGGAGTTTAGAGATGTCGGGAGCTTGTGTCTCCCTCCCGATTGAAAAAGACAGCCGTGTTCTCAGTTGCCAGCCCTTTCCACGTGTGTCTCCGTACCTCTGCACTTTACTTCCACGCCTCCTCTGAGTCTCAGTGTGCTTTTCTCTTTCCTTCTAGTTGTAGAATTTCCACTCGGCCAGCCTTCCTGTGGTTCAGGATGATGTCTGTTTTGTCTTTTTGTTGTATTTTTGAAGTGGTTGTGTGAGGCAGCAATTTCCGGTGTTTATCTATGCCGCCGTCTTGGTTTCTCTTTAATTTATTTTTAAAGTTTGGAAAAATTGCTGTCAACATGAATGCCATAGGATTCCAATTTATTAAATTTTCCTAATAGTGAAATTATATGCTGTAATTCATGAATAACTCTCACAGCAATGCAGTAGTGAATCTGACCTGTGAAATCATCCGTGATTAGCTTTCACTGTGGTATAGCTTCAGCCAGTGTTTTCATTAATCCCAGTCTTGGTCCAGTCAGCTCTTGCAGGATCTCAGATTTCTTTTATTTGTCAGCCAGAGACAGAGCACACACTAGAGAGCAATT